CCCTTTTTTTTTTTTTTTTTTTTTTGTGTGTGTATTCCAGCCATTTGGACGTCCAACCTTTATATCTTCAATGGATATTCATTTGTATATTCCATATGTATTATTGATGTTCTTTGGCGTTTTGCAATACCATGTGGCTCTTGACGGTTCGTCTTTTAAAAAATTATATAAAGTTGATAATTCTATCTATAACAATTAAAAGCAAATTCGGTCCTATCCTTAAAAAATATATATATTCTAGAACCAGTTGAATTGAGATTAAACATTTCCAAATGAAATTGTAAAGATCATTGGTAAAGTCCTACGCCACTCATTTATTTTATTGTTAAAAATGCATAGAGAAGCATACAAAAGAGTTAAAAAAAAACAATATCATGCTTCAATTTCGGGTTATCGCCACGCTGGATTTGCATCATTTGATGCGTTTGCTTTGGACCCACCTCACCTCTCATGTATATATACACATGCATAGCTTTTGCTCTATACTAAGTTTCATCACATTATTCGCACTTTTAAGCAAAGAAAAAAACGACATGACTTATGAATTCAGAGTTCGTCATTTGCTTGTAACGACTGTAGTTTGCTTAATATCGGTTACGAAGCTTGAAGCCGAGCTTACGAGGATAGAACGTAGCCCGAAATCGGACGGATCAATCAGCTTTCTGGTGGTCGGAGACTGGGGAAGACATGGACTCTACAACCAATCTCAAGTTGCTCTCCAGGTTAGATTCTCTCTACGTTTTCATCAATTCAAACGATATATATATATATATATATATATATATATATGTATTGTACGCTGCGTAATGCGTATTGAATATCCGATCAAACATATACTTGAAATATATAATGTTATATATAAGGATATTCTTGTTATGGATTTAACCTAGAGTTCTTACCGTATTTTTGAATTATATTCTTGGATAGAACCCAAACTCTGATACCATATAGAAATGGATTTTTTTTTTTGTATATATATCGGTGTATTATACAGCGTATTATGTAGAGAAAACACTATATATGTGTTCTAGTGTTAAATCTATTCACAACGACAAAAAAATATCCTTATACGCTAGATGGGGAGAATCGGGGAGAAGCTCGATATCGATTTCGTGGTATCGACGGGCGATAATATTTACGAGAACGGGATGGAAAGCGTCGACGATCCCGCCTTCAGGTCATCGTTCAGTGATATTTACACGGCTCAAAGTTTGCAGAAGCCATGGTACCTTGGTGAGTAAGCAAAGTCAATTTCATGCAGATTTTTGTTATTTACCAAATCTTTTTAATTACACGTCCGAATGCAATGAGACGATGTTATTTCTACAATTAGAAGAAGGAAATCAAATACACGAGATAGGATTCGGTGTATTTTATTCGACAGGAACAGGAGACAAGACATACAGTGAATATATATACACACACACACACAATAATGTACAACAAGAACTTTAAGCTGAAAACCCCACATAATTACATCATTACCATTATAATATATAAGATGAAACATATCATATGTCGGTCTAATCTCCATGTTATTATTGTTATATAAAAAAGAGAGAGATATTTCTGCTGGTTTCTAATTAAAGAACCCGTTTTTCAATTTTAAATTTGGAATCCATTCTTTTTTTTTTAATAACCAGAATGGTTCCCGAACCTTCGATCCGACTACATCCACCCTAGACACGGGACCAGTCTTTATACATGAATCATTTTGGTCCAGAAATTACATCCCTCACCACCAGTGGAATCGAATTGGAAACCATTCTCTGTTAATCATCTTCGTGTATGTTTTCTTTTGTTAACGGTAAATGTTATATATGTAAACAATCGTATATAAGAGAATATCAAACGACAGATATCCACCATCCTCATGTATGTTATAAGAAAGTTACAGACATTTTACGTTCCGCTCATCAATGTGAGATTTTTGGACCGTTGCGAAGACAAGGGAGAATATGTTCTTTGCATAAATTCTTTACCAAAATTTAAATAAAAAAAAAAAATCTTTCCTCACAGTGTTGGGGAATCACGACTACAGAGGAGATGCCGAAGCACAGCTAAGCCCGAGCCTCAGATTAAGAGACAACCGATGGATTTGCATGAGATCCTTCGTCGTGGACACTGGTACGTACCCTATATATACGTGTGTTTATATATATATATATATATAATTTCAATTCGTTCGAAAGCATATTATAAAAATCATCATCATATATATATCGTTCATAACTTCGTCTTTTTCCGTTACCGAATATCTGAACAGAAATCGCGGAACTTTTCTTGGTCGACACCACTCCTTTAGTGGATGCGTATTTCCTCCACCCACAGGGCCAAAAATACGACTGGAGAGGTGTACTGCCGAGAAAATCTTATATACGAAATCTCATGATGGTACGTTATATATCATATATATGTATATATATGACAAACAATTTTCTATAGCGAGTGATGAAGGACTAATTAATCTTCGCTGAAGAAAAAACAGCCAAGAAAATCTAATGGCTACATCGTACGGATCGAAGCATTTGCAAACAGCAACGTTTCTGTAGAAACGTTGTCCCCTAAAAACACCATCCTTAATTATACTGTCTCGATGAAGAAAACCAGAATGAGAATGACAATGAAAAGATCCGAGCAAGAGATAATTTCAAGAAAGGCAGGTTTCATCTCTGGACACAAAAGCAAAAGATTCTTACTTTGAATCTGAACCACTCCGGGCAATTTCCGGGCCAGCTGTAATCGTATGTAGCTCATCATCATCATCATTCGACAAGTTCTTGCTCTTGTTATCATGGTGCTCGGAAGTGGAGTTTCTGCTCTTGTCGTCCGGTTCTGAGTTGGTAGGAAAGAAGACACCGGTTCCGGGGATAGGATGTCTCGGCTCGTGCCATGGGATAATGTGACCACTCTGCGGAACCAAGCATGGGTTCGGATACACGAATCCCGCAGGCTGAAACACGTATCCCGACATGAGATTCGGGTGATAAGACGGTATATAGGAGGCGGGCATTACGCCATTTGAGGGAATATGCCAATGACCATGATTCTTGGGTCGGGAAACCATCGGCCGAGGTTTCACGGGCTGCGATTTCGTGAACGTTACAAGTATTCGCTCCTTGTTCGTAGCGTCAATCGCGTGATTTGCGAAATCAGCTGCTTGGCCTTCCATTGAAATGAGATTTCTGCAGGTGTTTCGTAACAAAAAAAAACATAATCATGATAAGAATGAATGAATGGATAGAAACAATATATGTTACAAGGAATTTTGAATACCCATATATATATAAATGTGTAGGATGTGGAGATGGCCTTGAGAGAGTCAAGGGCAAAATGGAAAATAGTGATAGGTCACCATGCATTAAAAAGTGCTTCCATCCATGGCAACACCAAAGAGCTCGAATCCCTCCTCCTACCCATCCTTGAGGTATTTATCACCAAGAGTTGTGAAAAATATTTGAATACATATATTATCTATATATATTAATTTGATAATATAGTATAATATTGCATTTCGTATTTATAAATATTATAATAATTTATTTTGAACGATGAGAAATTCAACGATTTTTTATGTGTTTTTCTACTATAATCTCTAGGTTCGAGAAAGAAAAATAAGAGGATCGAACCATTTTTTTCTGAATCTTTTTCAAAATAACCAATATCCATTTTATAAAACACATTCAATTTTTTTTCCACATTTGTAACGTTTTCTTGAAATTTTCAGGCGAACAATGTCGATCTCTACGTGAACGGTCATGATCATTGCTTGCAACATATCAACACACCTCAGAGGTATCAATCAATGCATTTTGTATATATTTTAATTCAATTTTGGTGAAAATCGTGGGTGAATGCATGATGAGAACCAAAAAAACGGCATGCAATCTTGTAGTCGAATTCAGTTTTTGACAAGCGGTGGCGGGTCAAAGGCATGGAGAGGCTATTACAAGTGGGATAAGCCAGATGAGATGAAGTTCTTCTATGATGGGCAAGGCTTCATGTCGGTTCGCATAACGAGAACAGAAATGGGTGCCGTTTTCTACGATGCTTCCGGCAATGTGTTGCATGAGTGGGACACGACCAAAGAGCTTTACATGGACATGTAAGGGAAAAAATAGTGTTGGCCTTAACAACAACCATTTGATCTCTTCAAGAATTCGTTCATAATTAACCAAAATTATCCCCTTTCTGTTGAATTCAATGCAAAAAAAAATGATCAAAGAAAAATTAAATGGACCGCGGGTAACCTTTTAAGACAAGATAACCGAATTAAGTTTGGATAAGTCAACAGTTGGTCACGAATTCGAATTCCAAATTTGGGAAGAAGTATATTGATCCGGACTTCTCCTTAGATCAATGTGGGTTTTGGTCAATCCGGTTACCAAAAAACAAGATAATCTTAGTGTCATCACTCTTACATCTTTTCTAGATGTTGGAGAATTAGTTGGGAATTCAATTGAAATTAACGAACTTGTAAATACACGTGTGAATATGTATAAGTGCATGTACAAGGTAGAGGCAGACTTTTTGGTATTCAAGTTCGGTTCGAGACTTATTCCTGTTCAAGTCTTTCGGTTTTATAAATATATATATTAATTGATTATTATATCATATTCGATTTGATTTCGGTTTCGGTTTTGTCTTTTATTAAAAAATTATATTTATTTTTTAAGAAATTTTCGATTTTTTTCATTTTTTTTAAATATGGTTTGGGTTTCATTCGCTTCCAATAAATTTGATTCTCTAAAAAAATGCATTTGAAAATTTTGGACGGTTTCGGTTCGAAAATGATCGAGTTTCTGGGTACGGTGTGGTTCGGTTTTGAAGAACCGTACCGAAATAACATAACATTTTCTCTCTGGTTTCCTCTGTTATTATACTTTCTCTTTCATTTTCTCTCCAGCCAAACACTCCTTGGCTTGCTTCTGAGACTAGTTAGGTTCTGTCCGAACGAGTACAAGCTACTAATTCTCTCTCCGCTGTTGTTTTCTACCGAATCCGAACTCGACCCGGATCTATTCGGGTCGCGGTTACGCGTCGTTTCAATTCCGATTTCGATCCTTTTACGAAAGGATGAGGCTTTTTGTCATCTTCGCTGAAGAAAAAACAGCCAAGAAAATCTAATGGCTACATCGTACGGATCGAAGCATTTGCAAACAGCAACGTTTCTGTAGAAACGTTGTCCCCTAAAAACACCATCCTTAATTATACTGTCTCGATGAAGAAAACCAGAATGAGAATGACAATGAAAAGATCCGAGCAAGAGATAATTTCAAGAAAGGCAGGTTTCATCTCTGGACACAAAAGCAAAAGATTCTTACTTTGAATCTGAACCACTCCGGGCAATTTCCGGGCCAGCTGTAATCGTATGTAGCTCATCATCATCATCATTCGACAAGTTCTTGCTCTTGTTATCATGGTGCTCGGAAGTGGAGTTTCTGCTCTTGTCGTCCGGTTCTGAGTTGGTAGGAAAGAAGACACCGGTTCCGGGGATAGGATGTCTCGGCTCGTGCCATGGGATAATGTGACCACTCTGCGGAACCAAGCATGGGTTCGGATACACGAATCCCGCAGGCTGAAACACGTATCCCGACATGAGATTCGGGTGATAAGACGGTATATAGGAGGCGGGCATTACGCCATTTGAGGGAATATGCCAATGACCATGATTCTTGGGTCGGGAAACCATCGGCCGAGGTTTCACGGGCTGCGATTTCGTGAACGTTACAAGTATTCGCTCCTTGTTCGTAGCGTCAATCGCGTGATTTGCGAAATCAGCTGCTTGGCCTTCCATTGAAATGAGATTTCTGCAGGTGTTTCGTAACAAAAAAAAACATAATCATGATAAGAATGAATGAATGGATAGAAACAATATATGTTACAAGGAATTTTGAATACCCGGGAGCAAAAGATAGCTTGGTGGATCCGTTGTAATGGCCGGAACGGTCCGACCAAATGATTTTCCCGAACGTAAAGTCGCATTCCGACAAGAACATAACGCACAAGGGTCTTCCATACCATGGAGGATGAATATGTGGTTGTGAGTATTCACCCTGAAAGTGAAAACGGCGAAAGGGATTACACAAAAAAGTTCTCTTGTTTTTGCTTATGCATTGCGGGATTAAGCTTAGAAACCGAATCGATTAGGGACAACCTCGTTATAGACATCGATAACGCAGGCGTCGGGTTTCGATGTAAGAACTTGGAGGTCGAGGAGACGGTGAATGACAGCCTGCAACTGAGCAGGGATAGGTTCTACTTCAGGACCTGCAATCGATCGATCACCGCCAAAAAAAAAAAAGGATCAAAAGTTTGTTCTTTTCCCCGGAAATTACCAAGAAAAAGTTCTCAAGAATACCTTTGGAATGGTTAACTACACTATCATCATGGATCAATGGAGCATCGACAATGGGAAACCCTAATTGAATAACCTCTTTTCCGCGTCCTCTCATCGGCCTCTTATACACAATGTACGTCTTGCCTGTATACGTATATATATATACACATATATATATCATGTTTGAATGAATGTGTAATGAGAAACATATATAGAATGAATCAAATGAATATTTGCCTGCGAGTTTTCCGGCTTTCCCATCAGCTCTCAGATCGTTAACGAGGGAATCGAGTTTCGAGAGTTGGGTTATGTCGATCACTTGTTCGTACAGCTTCAGCCCATGAACTACATTAATCTATACAATAAAATAAAAAAATAAAAAATAAAAAACAAAATCAATTCATTCAGAAGCAAAATGGAATAGTAAATCATATATTATATGGGGTGGGGAATTGAGGCACTTAACCATCATTCCATCGAATCTCTCGGTGGCGACAAAGGTTTTGGCCATTAGGGCAAGTTTCTGCTTAGGGTTTTGATCTTCACCACAAGCATTTGGTTCATCATCCTCTGCAACGGTTTTGTCATAAGAAATTTTATGACAATGGTGTTCACACATGAAAATCCAAAAGAGCAAAAAAAAAAAAACATATGAAGAAAGTGTATATATATATATATGTGTGTGTGTATATATATAACCTTTTGAACCGCAACTTTCATTAGCAGCCTCCACCGTATTTTCATGTTCCTCTGCAGAAATTAAAGAATATCAGTTACCATTATAAAAATAATTAATATTGGCTTCAAATAAATTATTCAAATATACATCACAGTAAAAAAACTTAAAGAAAATCTTACGTTTCACATAATCCTCTATTGGATCTTCTTCTACGTTGGTTACTTCGTCCACGTCATCGTCGCACTTTCTCGGCTGGTTTTCCGAGATTTTCTCGCCTGCCAAACAACTACTCTCCTTCATCGATCCAGCCTTACGTTCTTCTTCCTTAAACCCTGATTCATCATCTCTCTTAAATCCATTACAATGGCGATTATGGTGATTGTTGCAGAGATTTCTTCTCTTCCATGCCACGCAAGCGAGAGCGGTTTCCACGTCCGTGATCGGAGAGTGAGGAAGCGTGTTCAAGAACGGCGTCCACAGCCGTCGCCTCCGCCCGATCGCTTCGTCCACCGCAGCGTACTCTGATCCGCCACCGCCATTGGCGATCCTGAGGTGGTTGCAGAGCGAGTCGATTATCGCGTTTGCGGCCGCGAACTCGCTCAGTATCCAATCCACCTGCCCCACCCGTTCATCCTGATGGAATCGCGTTTGGCCGTTGCGATTGACCTTCGCCTCCATTGTCTCCCCGACTGGTCAATGTTATGAAAAGCCCTGCAAGTGAAAATAAACGCAAAAAGGGTTGAATCTTTATTCCATAATGAATGTGGCTTTTAAGATAGATTTATTGATCGGGGAAGAATAATTGGATGCAAAAACCTAAAAGAAAGATTAAGCAGCAATAGGGGTTTAGGGTTTACCACATGTGATGCGTATTTATAGGAGTTTTAGATGTGAATTATATATATATATATATATATATATATCAAAAGATTCTATCCATCTGAAAAAGAGTCCAAATAAAATAAAAACTATATGACTTCACATTAATTTTATTTTTATTTTTCATATTTTGTATCAGTCGACATAAAGTGAACTTGATTACAGATTTTCTACTCAAATATAGTCATGTATATCCGTATAATTATATAAATACGTATATTCGAATGCACAAATACGCCATAATTTCCATGTGGTGGCGGTAGTTAAACAGTGACGCAAAGGAGGATGCCCATCGAACTAGAAGAAGAAACAAAGATCTGCCCTTATCTATCTATAACGAGGCCATAACGCAGGAGTCAAAGACTTCAACAAAAATAAAATAAAAATAAAAAATAAGATTCACCTGCTAATTTTCAAATGTGAAACACAGCGAACCATTCTCTCCATTTTTTTAATTGAATAGTGGAATCGAATTAAATAAAAATAATTATAATTGAACCGAATTAAATAAAAAATAATTAAAAATAATTTTTCCAAATTTAAAAAAACGAATCCCAACGAAATCGGAAAAATCGACAATTTTTTTGTAAAAAAAATTGAATTAATTGAATTTAAACCTAATCAAACCGAACCTATCTAAAATTAATATTAAAACCGAATCGTTATAATTTTTTATAACTAAAATAAATGAACCGAAATATAACCAAACCAAACAGAATACGAACCAAAACACGAAATGGCTATCACAAATCCCCCATTCTCCCTCACGCACGCGCATACTTAAATTGGCCTCAAGCGTATTTTATGATGGTGGGAAGGAGACTGCTGCTAACATACGCGGCGAGGTGAATGCGCACGTATTTGGATATATGCCGATGGATTGGTTTCTACGTGCACACGCTTGAATGCGAGAGATCTAGTATTAGATCCGGAGGTGGATATCCACGTGGCACGTGCTTACTCCCGACCAAATGATCACGAGATCTCAACCGTTCATTTTATCCAGTTGGATAAATCCTCTGTACTATCAGCCCAACATGGGTTTCGTATTGGGCCACATTAGTAACGAAACAAAGTGATTATTTGCCAAATTTAATTTAATGATCAACTGATTTTAATTATCCCATAATTACCCCGCCGTATGATTCATTTATAAACGAAAAAAAATAGAACAATAGAATTTACAACTTATAGAAATCGTCCTTGATCTAAAATGGTATTGTCTTCACACTATATTAGATATATAGCCCCTCTATAAGTGTGAGTGTGCATATATTGCTTAATTGTATTTGAAGTAAAGTATACATATCCGATATATCTTAATACCCATCAAACTAAAATGGGTAAGAGATAATGAAAAGCCAGAAATATTTATCAGTTTATTATGACCAGAATCGCACAATAACGTGACAAAAAACCGAGAGGTTTTTTTGTAATCGGGTATCCTGTACCAAGAACTAGACTAAACTAGGAATCGGAGACCAACTATGTGATTTAGAATATACATCTCTTTCTAAATTTGATGTTCAAATTCGAAGCAGAATATATGCTCTGCGTCCTCGTATCACCGGTTGAACTAACCAAGTTTGGATGTAAAAGTCGATTATAACTGTTAAAAAAAACATATAATGTTATTATTGATAATAATAATAATAATAATCGTTTCAAAAGTGAGGATATAAGATATTTTGATTTTTTTTTTAACAAAACACAACAAATAGAGTTATCGAATTTAATATTGTGATTAAACCAACCAATTTTCCAATTACCCGCAACCGGGCTTTGAATCTTTATGGATTCTGCAAAATCCCACTGGTTAGACGCCGAGCCAAATCAGCGTGAAGAGCATGACCACCCTGTTTCATAATGTCCCACAGAAGTTACTAAACCAGTGGAACAATGAACTCGAAGGCCTCTCAGCCTGAGAAAGAATGGTTTCCGCCATTAATGGTTGTAGAAAATGAGCTTGAGTTTACATTACCAACCTTAAACGCCACGATATGAGCGACCGGAAGGCCACAGTTACCGCCCTCGGCTAGAAGGGCGAGATCGCCAATAAGGTCCAAGATCTTGTGCCGGCATGGCTCGTCGACAAATCGCAAAGGCGGGTTCATCCATCCAAGCTCGGCACTGCACGTGACCGTTCGGAAACGGGCTGTAAACGTAATACAGAGACCTCGAACGAGTAATCTTAAAACGGCTTGAAAGGGAGAATCTTTACCTGCAAACAATGGCGTTTTCCATCGATCCACCTTTTATTAGACCTGCATCTCGCATTCTCTCTACCTGCAATAACACTTGATAAGACAGATGAAGACATAAACGTCTAGACAGAGCGACATGATTGTCTTGGAAGCCGAGATTCATCATTGAAGAGGACAAAAGAAGCGAAAATATGTAAAAACCTATGCAGCTTCTTTAAATATATCGATGACTATGACATGTTCATTCATTCCACAGAGCTATATATTACCTCTTCGTATAAGCAAAAGGTTCTCGACGGTGCGATATGCTTCGTGTACGAAGAATCATCGAGAAATTTCCAAGAAAACCACTGGCACCCTATAGAAGGAACCTACGAAAAAGTTACGAAAAAACACAAATTCAACCAAAAATCCAACCCCATCCATAAACTTCTTCTGTATCGAGTTAACTTGTCAAGTGAGAAGCAAACCTGCGGGAAATCGATACCGTAAGTGATGCGAGTTTCGGGAGAGGGAAATGCAGCGAGGAAGGAATCCTTCCTGCTCACATGTACGGGTTCGTTAACGTGAATTGCCATCTTCTCAACACTTTCGCCGACATGGTTAAGAGCCAGGTTTATGCCGGCTGCTTGTATTGCATTCACCCATTCTGTTGCTGATCCATCGAAAACAGGGACCTGTCACTTCGTTAGCATTTACTTGAATCGAAATTGTCACCATGTATGAACAAGAAGGTTCCATGGCGAATTTGCTAAGGACAATCAACAAGAACTGTAGATTGAACAATGTATCTGTCAGCCATATACGGTCCTATAAAAACAGCTACACAGTGAATCAATGAATCCGGCATGGATAATGATGAAACGCGATGTCCTAGTACGAACCTCGACTTCCGAATCCACGGGATCTTCGCTCTCGATCTGAATCCTGCAATTATCCACGCCCATGGCCTCCAAAGCCGACAGCAAGTGTTCGACAGTTCGGATTCTGAACCCGTCTTTGAAAAGCGTCGTACAAAGAGGAGATTCCTGCGCGAAATCGATCGATGCAGGGAGGAATCTGGAACGAAACTCGAATAATCTTCCAGCTCCGGCGATCTCCGGAAGAAGCTTCACCGTTGAAACCTTCCCGGAGTGCAAAGCCTTCCCTCTCCTCTCCACAGATCCTGCAAGAGTCTGCTGCAATCTTCCACTCTGGTATTTCACCGGAAGCAATAGCGAATCCATTATCACAATAGCAGAGTGAAACTCGTGTGCATATGCAAAGCGTGTATGAGAAAAGTACAGGACTCAAGGTGGTCGGCGACGATGATTCGACAGAGAAAACAGCGGCAGAGACAGAGAGAAATCTCTTGCCGGAGACGATTCCCGGCCGGCTGATGGCTCTGACGGCGGCGGAGAAGCCCATCGGGTTCGTAGCTTGCGGAGACGAAAACCACCGAGTGGTCAATGTAAACGTTAAAAGCGTCACGATTGAGCGTTGACCCAAAAAACAAGGACTATGCTTTAAAACGCTGCCGTTTTAAGAGTTCTTGAGAAAACCGGTTGTTCGGTTTTAGGAATTTCGGTTCGGTGTATTGAATTTGATTGTAGTTGTGGATAAATTGGGTTTTGGTTTAGGTACATTTGATTCGTTTGTATTTAAGTTTGTAATTTCAGTTATAGAAACATTATAGTGATTTGATTTGATTCTATTTCGGTTCAATTTTGATTTTTATTGATAAAATTTCATTTTTCAAAAAAAATCTTTTCGGTATTTTAATTTATTCAATTTGATTTTTTCGATTTTAGAAAAAATAACTATTCACTTTCATATCAAATTCGATACAGATACAATATTTTCATTTTAAATGGGTTCAATTACTTCTTATTAACAAAATTTTCCATTTGATATATCTATATCTATATCCATATCTATATATATATATATATATATTGTAAATGATTACAGTTAATTAATTGATTAGGGAAATTAGATTAGGTGATGTGTAAAGTCGAAATTTGGAGCGACTAGAAGTAGCACTGTTTTTTTCTTGTTTTGACTGTTCTAAATGTTGGTCATGGATGATCATGATGACATAAGAAAACTCTAAAAGCCCATGCTTACGGATCAATTAAGACATTATTATTGTTAACAACCAAGGATTATCTGTTAATTATTATTATTATTATTATTTGGTCTTTCATATGAAAATGATATCCACCACCGTCACAACACGTTAAAAAAGGACAAAAAAAACATAGCATATAAAATTTTAACTAAACCCATAATTGCATCGAGGAAAAATATATGATATTTCATGAAATACCATTGCTCGCACTTTTATCAACCTTAATTGTAACTAAATCCATATGAAAAATACATATATAGTTTCCTGTATTTTGATACATATTTTGTTGTAAAAGCATCCGAATCTTACATGTAAATTCAGATTTGATAGATATTATTATTGTTTTAAAAAAATGATTATGTTTTACTATCGAAATTTTTATAATTAATTATGTGAATATTTTAAATACGAATTCAGATTCTAAAATATTAGAAATGAAAATAGAGGCTGTTCTTGCTCATAACAAAAAAATAAATATAAATTGAAGTTATAGATCTAAGATTATTTCTCACATCTTAATATGCATGACCATCATTTTCAATGTTTATAATGAAGTGTCTGAAAATGAGATTTCTGTTATATTTCATTGTCTAATTAAATATTCATACCCAACTCTATAACCATTTATGTAACCAAAACAAATTCAAATCCTTTCCACTACACTTTTTTTCAATCTAACCAAATAAATTTTGTATCTTTATAGTTTTATTATGTGCTGAAATATCATATTATTATACATGGTCAATTTTCAAAAGGAAATAAGATTAGGTGGTGTAAAAATACATAAACACATTTTTTATATAAGAAAATATTAAAAATATTTTAAAAAATATTGAAAATAAAAAAAATATTCTAGCTCGCAGACGGATTCCTGAACTCGCCGAACTGACTCGTCAGAGCCTCACGATCCATTTTTTGGACTCAAATTTTCTAAGTCCGACTCAGAAAAATATAGATTGGCTTGCGGATTGATCCCGAGTCGAGTCTATTTGACATCTTGATTCATCGTAAATATATTTGGGATCCAAATATTATTCCCAGAATTTATGAAATTACAAAATAATTGTAATTATTATTGCTATTGTACATTTCTTTTATTAATTATGGTTATGGGATCAAATTTTATCTACATATGACATACCACATGTCACATGGGTACTTCAGCTTTCTTGCTTCTTTCTTTTTTTTTTATTCTCTCACATTCACTTACATGTTTCATTTTAAATAATCATTAGATTACATGTCATTATCGCAGTTTATCGCACGATCAATTCATTTATTTTTATTTTCATTGATTCTTTTTTGACCTACTGAAATTATGGTCACATTAATCATAGAAAATAAATAAATTTAAATGTTTCATATTTCAAAACCATAAAAAAAAACATTTTCTATTTGCGCATAATATTGAAGACAGCCACTAAAATAATTGTTCCATTCTCAAATAATGACAAACTGCCAATCAACATCTAATCTAATACATATATATATATATATATAATGAGCCTCATTCTAATTTCTATTACTAAAAATATATTGCACACAAAAAATCCAAGAAGGCAAATTACACGTGTCATTAACTGAGGCATGAAGGTACAAAATTCTGGAGAAAAAAAAAATCATGAAAGGGAATATTTCAGAGTTGAAGAATTTGGAAGGTATAGAAATCATGCTTTGTTTTGTTTAATCGAAAAAGGATAAAATAGTTTTATTTTCTCTTTAGATAAATAAAGTTTTTTTCATGTTATATTTCTTTTTTTATGAATATATGAAATGATATATATCGACGAAAAAGGTTTGATTTTTCTAAATTAATTTCCCATAGTCGGGCATTTATTAAAGACGATCACTGTTATATATATAGATCCAAACACACCAATTTTTAAATAAGAAAGTATAATTTTTTTATGGAAAAAATAAATTGATTTCATTAAAAAAATTTATCCATTAAATTTGTTTTATTTTTTCTTAGAAACATATTTAGCTATGTTTTCTTCATAAAATAAACGTCAAATTCTTTCATATAATTTGGAATATGTTAACTGAGAAATATACTTTTATTTAATTTCTGAAATTTATATAGAATATACATTTGTAAACGGTTTGTTAAAACATAAAGTTTAATCCGATACATATTATAATATATGGTTGGAGGTTTACATTGTCATTGCAGGGTAAAACCGTAAAAAGGGTTCCCATGTCATCTTCTTTGTAACAGAAAGATGCCAAGATAAAGGGATTTTCGAGAATCTAATTGTTAGCTTCGACTATTTTTTATTTTTATTTTTTAAAGTATATCAAATTTGAATTTAAAAATAGTTATACGAAATTCGAACGAAATATTAGATTTGCTGTTTCATATTTGTTCTTTCGCACTAATTCACATTTTTTATTTTTATTTTTATTATTTCTTTTATGAACCAAGACTAATATAGAAAATGAAATGGATAAAAAGTAGGATTACGAAAAGAAATAAGTCGGGGTGAACGTTTGATATTCAATTCGGATTCGGATCGGAAATGATTTGATTCGATTCTTTCGATTTTATAAAAATAGTTACCAATCAACTAAGTATATTATATTCGATTGATTTAGTTCTGATTTTTATTAAAAAATTTAGAGCTTTAAAAAAATATATTTTTTAGATTTATTTTTTAATTCGATTTTAAAAAATTTAATTTTTTAAAATTAATATAAATTTTTTAAAATTAATACCATTGGAAAATTTTAAATAGTTCACATCGATTTTTTTTCCGATTGGTCCCTCAGAGAAATAAACATTGTCCCTAAAAATGAAAAACAAAAATAAAATAATACATGTCTCCTCTTCCACGCGCAAACCATCTCACCAATTAGGTAACTAATCAACTTAAACCAAAAATTAATTATCTACCAAAATAATAAACGAGAAAATAAATAATAATGTTTTTTTCTTTATTATATAAGAGCTTAATTGACCTGAAAAGTTAATAAATATGTTCAATGTTCCAACTTTGTGTTTAATCAGTGAACAAGGATTAATTAGCTTAATCCATCTTCAATGAACAAGGATTAATTAACTTAATCCATTTTCTGTCTCACGAGCCCTCTTCGTCTTTCACTCTATTAGTAGAGAGAGAAACCACTGCAACAGCATTTAAATCCCTCTCTCTTCCATTCTCTATCTAGAAACCCCAGAGTTTGTGAAACTTTCTCTCTCTAGGTTAGCTTCATCTCTCTCTCTGTATATGCGCGCGCGCGTGCGTAGATTTGCCTGTGGGATTCTGATTTGATAGCCAGAGAGAGCATTTGGATCCGAAAACTCCGAGTTTTGTTGTCTTTGGATGTGATTTTTCTTCCGCGTTGTTTTCTCTATCCACGAATCTGCATTATTTGAGCTCAGTGCTGTGCTACTCTCTTTCTCTCTCTATACTTTGTTTGTATCTGTGAATCTATACATTGTATCTCTATAGGTGTGTCTCGCGTAGCTGGGTTTGGGAACCTAGCATTTGGATCCTGAGGGATTTGGATGTGTGTGTGAGGGAAACAGGGGATCAGATCGGCGATGGCGGAGTTTTCGGGCGACGGAGGTGACTCGGCGCTGGCGACGGAGCAGGATGCGGCGGCGCCGTCGCTGACGGTGTCGGCTTCTTTCAAGGAAAGCGGCGGAGGAAAAAATTCGTCGAGGCGGAGGCCGGTGAGGCCAAGCTTCGACGCAGCCGCCGACAATGACTTCATCACTCTACTCCATGGCTCGGATCCAGTGAAGGTGGAGCTCAATCGGCTCGAGAACGAAGTTAGAGGTCAGGAAATGTTACTCGATCTGATTGTTTTGTATCGATTCAGATCTAATTTTGTTTTCCCTTTGTTGTGCCCTCGCGTTTTACATCTGTTTTCATGCTATTGACCGATTTCTCCATTGTTTTACGGTTTTTTTTTTTTTGTCTCCCTAAAATCTCTCTTAAAATGCAGACAAGGATCGTGAATTAGGCGAAGCACATGCCGAGATCAAAGCTGTGAGATTATCTGAGAGGCAGAGAGAGAAAGCTGTTGAAGAGGTATTCTAAGTTTCTATTTTTTTTCTCTATTCTTTTTTCATTTTGGGTTCATAGTGAAAATTTCGAAGATTTTGGGTTTCCCTTTCACCAATTCTTTGGAACATTATACCTAAATCAAAACCCGAAATTGGTAAATCTCTTTCGTTTTTCGCGAGTCTTGATTTTGATTTTAATGGTTGCAAAAAACCACCAAGTATTTTGTTTTCTCTTTCACATTCTTCCTTGTATCTCATATTCTAGTTTCCATGTTGATTCCGCTGACCGATAAATTCGTGGCGAGTTGACCGTTTCTCCATTGATTACCGAATTCATAATGCCTGCAACTATGTAGAGTTGATTAAGTACTTACATGTTGTAAAATCTGGTTCTGGTCATGTTGTTACTCTTTAAGCTTCTTTTTTTGTTTACATTCCTGTTTGTCACTCTTCCCTAGAGGTTCAATGATCAGCTTACAATCATGAGAGTCATGCACATTTTCTCATGAATTACTGCTACATAGTTTGATCAGTTGCTGACTCTTGTTTTTGTTTTGAATTTATGACCAACTGATGATTCTCTTAACTGTGATTTTCCTTTTGACACGCTCATCTTCATTTGATTAATTCATTTTTCCTTTTTGTGCTTCTCGTGAGCTGACTTTTCTTTCCCCATGTACTCTGGAATATTAGCTCACTGATGAACTTGCTAAGTTGGAGGAGAAGCTCAAGTTGACTGAATCCCTTCTTGAAAGCAAAGTATTGCTCAAAACACCTCCTTGATCTCAATTATGTTTTACTTCTCCTTGTCTTGCTGTTTATATATGTGATTATCACCTACGGTGCAGAATCTAGAAATCAAGAAAATCAATGAGGAAAAGAAGGCGTCAATGGCTGCTCAGTTTGCTGCTGAAGCCACCTTAAGGAGGGTCCATGCTGCTCAAAAGGATGATGACATGCCTCCAATTGAAGCCATTCTTGCCCCATTAGAAGCTGAACTTAAGCTTGCACGGCAGGAGGTATTTCCATTCCCTTTTAGTCTACTTGATTGGTTTCTACTTCCTACGATGTCATTTTGATGTATGAAATGTTTGGTCATTGATCACCTGCCTTTTTCCTCCATAGATTGGGAAGCTTCAAGAAGACAACAGGGCTTTGGATCGTCTGACTAAACAGAAGGAAGCCGCCTTACTTGATGCTGAGAGGACAGTTCAAGCTGCCCTGGCGAAAGCTGCCATGGTCGATGACCTTCAAAATAAGAACCAAGAGTTGATGAAACAAATAGAAATTTGTCAGGTGTCGTGGCATCTCCTATCCGTATTAGTTTATCTCTTGTATTGTTTGCCAATTGCTAATTAACCCTTTTTTAATGCATCAGGAAGAAAACAAAATCCTAGACAAAATGCACAGACAGAAGGTTGCTGAGGTTGAAAAACTTACCCAGACTGTACGGGAGCTGGAAGAGGCTGTTCTTGCTGGTGGTGCTGCTGCAAATGCCGTGAGAGATTACCAACGGAAATTTCAAGAGATGAATGTAACTATCGCAATTCACAAGAATGCCCAAATGAGCACAGAGTCCTTAGCTTCTTATACAGCACTTGACAAATGACAACCGACGAAGTGATGATTCTTATTGATTTTTCAGGAAGAAAGAAAAACTCTTGATCGGGAACTTGCACGTGCTAAGGTTACAGCAAATAGAGTAGCCACTGTGGTGGCAAATGAATGGAAAGATGGCAATGATAAAGTGATGCCTGTGAAGCAATGGCTTGAAGAAAGACGGTTTCTACAGGTTCACTTTGATATGATGTTTCATCTCCCAGATTCTTGATTGGTTCACAGATTCATTATTAGAAAAAGAGCTCAGCCGGTTCTAAATTCTCAATTCTCCGACTCTTTTCTTGCAGGGAGAGATGCAACAACTTCGTGATAAGCTTGCCATAGCAGAGCGAGCTGCTAAATCTGAAGCACAACTAAAAGTAACAATCTTTTGCTTTGTCTGTCCGTCTTTTCTCGCTCGATTTTTCTTTGAACCGAGAAAAAATTATAAAATACTTTACGTGCAAAATTTCCCAGGAAAAGTTTCAACTGCGGCTAAAAGTGCTAGAGGACACACTGAGAGGAACATCAAGCAGCAGCACGAGGATCACATCCGAGGGAAGAAGCATGAGCAACGGACCCTCTCGCAGGCAGTCACTCGGCAATGTCCAAAAGCTTCCATCCAATGGCTTCTTGTCCAAGAAAACTCTGTCGAAACACTCCTCATCTTCTAATTCAACTTGTGTGTTGAAGAATGCCAAAGGCACATCTAAATCGTTCGATGGAGGCACAAGATCCTTGGACAGAGGGAAAGCACTGTTAAATGGACCCGGGTTTTATTCCTTCAACAAGGCTGCTGATGAAGTCAAGGGGGCAGAGTCTCATCCCGATGAGAAGCCACCGAGCGAGAGTGAAAACCCTTCACCAGTGACAGAGGACAGCGTCCCGGGTGTTTTGTATGATTTACTACAGAAGGAGGTCGTTGCCTTGAGGAAATCTTCTCATGAAAAAGATCAAAGCCTCAAAGATAAAGATGATGCCATAGAGGTAGTAGAATTTCTGCATAAGCCTTTTTATACTTGAGATGGAAGTGTAATATATAATATTCAAGCTTTCGGTTTTTTCTTGTGTCAGATGTTGGCGAAGAAGGTGGAGACGTTGTCAAAGGCGATGGAGGTCGAGGCGAAGAAGATGAGACGGGAAGTAGCAGCGATGGAGAAAGAGGTTGCGGCCATTCGTGTGGAGAAAGGACATGAGAACAGAGCCAAAAGGTTTGCAAATACAAAGAGCCCATCTAACAGTGCTCAGATTCTTGCTGGAAGGTACAAAATAAATGCTTCTTTCTGTTTTTCATTAGGCGTATTGCTCCACATTGATTGTGCATGCCCCTTATCCTTTTTTTACTATTTGATGAGTAAAGCATGGAATGACCTGTACATAATATACATATTATATATATATATATATGTATGTATTATCAGAGACTTTTAGAATCCCATCATCATATGATTGGATGAGAGGCTTTTGAAATTATGTGGCAGAGCTGCTGGAAGAAGCGGGCTAACGAGGAGTACCCAGTGAGGGAGATTCAGCTCGTGGCATAAATGACAAGTAAAAAACAGTTATAGGCTTTCGTGCTATATATTATATGCTTATTTTATATATAACCTTATGTGTTCTTTTTTCACTTTGGTTTTTTTTTTGTCCTCCTCTTCAAGTGATTTATTGTATTATCATATAACTTAAAAGCATGTGATGGTGATCCCATCCTCACCCTACGAATCACCCCCCCCCCCCAAAAAAAAAAAGGAGCTGTGAAAGAGAAAGGAGAACCAAAAAAAAAGGAAGAAGAAGAGAAATAGGAGTGGCACTGACGTAAAACGCTTGGGTTAGAACGGAGGAGGTTGACATTTTGGCTAACATTTTCATCCCTTTGGGGTAAGTTTAGTAGTTGTCTGTTTGGTTTTTGTATAGTGTCATCTTTTGTATGTCTTGTCTGCTCTCTCTCTCTCTCTCTCTCTCTCTCTCTCTCTCTGTAGAGAGATTGAGAGAGAGAGAGATTGAGAGAGAGAGAGAGGAGTTTGTGTTCTCTTTTTTTTTTGGGGCCACTCTTTGCGTATTTGTTTTATGCTGCGGGCGCGTGTGATTATCACTTTGTATTTTCCTTTTTTGGGTTGTTGATATTTTCCCCTGTTTTTAATTCCATTTTGATGTCTATTTTGTTTTGCCTTAAACATAAATATTCACATATCCACATCTTTCTCACTGATTTGTTTTTTTTCTTCTTCTGATGAGAAATGTATCTTACGGTTCCCTTGGAAAAAGTGGGAGCGAAAGAATGTAATAAAGATAGATAAATACACCTGCGATTCAATACAATCATACACGACATATCTAACACCACAACCTTAATAACGAAATCTACAGACTCCCGTTAAACTTCTCTTTTGAAAATTTTCTTACATGGGCTTGAGAGCAAAAAGCATAACACCATCATAAAATTTTGAAGAGCCGTTGAAGCATTTCACAGGAAAATCAGAACCTGACTTTTCTCTACGGACAATAAAATCACAACAAACATAAAATACAGAATTGAACAAAGTAACTAAAAATAAAAGACCGACCATAACCGTACCATTTTTACCGAAGCCAAGGCTCTCTCTCTCTCTCTGTCTCCATATGGGGTTTTAGGCAAAGGTTGTGATCGACAGAACTCGACTCAGAGTTCCGAGTCCTGGCGACTCGCCAGACAGAGTTCATGCAACTCGTTGAGTATCCATTCCTCACCGGTGTGACCACCGAGGACCAGAACTCTAGTCCCTCCGACCACACAGGTGCTATGTCCCCATGCAAACTTCGGCGGCTGTCCCGGAACATTAAGTATCCTCCACAACGGCTTCTCCTCCAACGGGTCCAAAATAAATATCTGTGACGGCGAGTGAAGTCCGGCAATGGACCCTCCGAATATAATCACCCTCCCGCACGGCATGCTCACGGCCACGTGGTCCAGCCTCGGCGGCGGAACCACCCTGCTCTGGTCGCTGATTCCGGCAAAATGGCTGCATTCCAGCTGTCTCCATCGCGGGTTTTCGTCTTCTATGTCTATACTGTATGCCTCTCCCGACCGTAGCTTCAGATGTCCGCTACTTGCCAGCCCGCCAAACATTAGGATCTTGGTCCGACCAAAGGCCGAGAGAGAGTGTCCTAGCCTCGATGGCGGAGCCCACGTTGTCAGAATCTCTCTCCACGCAGGTTTATCCATCGTCATGTCCAACAAGAACGTGTCGCTTAGAAGCACGCCAGAGTCCGTACACCCGCCTGACACAACCAGTTTAGATCCTTCGATGGTGCAAGAGCTGTGCCATGATCTCGGGAGAGGAGGCGTGCCACCGGACACTTCCTTCCATGTCGGATTCTTAGCATCTAGATCGAGCACGAACACGTCGTTGAGCAATCCTTGCCTTCCACACCCACCAAAGACTACTAACCATGACTCATTCAGGCACGATAAAGTATGGCCCCATCGTCCCGGTGGCGATGATTTCACCCTCATCCGTTGCCATTCGGGATATTCTGCATCGAGATTTAGAACGAATGTATCGTCCATTGGTTGCATATCTACTCCTTCCCCACCAAAGAGCACTAGCCGGTTCCCCACGGCACATGCACTGAAGTTGCAGCGTGAAGGTTCTACTGATCCTCCAACGGTGAATTTCCTCCAACTAACGGCTTCGAGGGTGGTGAGTTCTCTAGCTAAGCGTCCCCAACCGAGTTTCTTTGTCATAATCTCTAGTGTTCCTGTGATTTCCTTTCCCCATGCATTTTGACACACCATCTTCCTCACGCTCTCGTTTTTTGTCAATTGGCGAATTCTACTGCATGCAGATCCAATGGAAGCGACATCCCTTGGAGTCAAGCGTGATAAGATGTTATGCGCCAATACTTCATCAGACAGCTGTAGTATCCCACAGACATCCTGGTTCTGTCTGAACGCTACTGCTGCTTGTCCGCTTGGGGATAAGTATTGGGATTTCTGATGAAGTTGTGGATTGCTGCAGGTCTCTTTGAAGACAGGATATGATACATGGTTGAGATCAATGGTTGCTTCAGAGAACACCTGTATACCGATTATATGCGTAACAGTTCCATCATCGTCATGTATAGGGGAAAGCCTTAGCCGGTTCACCACAGGAGTACGGTCCTTCCTGAAGTTGAGAAGCTCGCCTTGAAATTCAAGGCCGTCTTCAAGACATCTCCTAATCTCGGACACAACAACAGGATCCACCAATGGGTGACGCCTCTGAGCACGAGGGTCCCTGTACTGTAAGAATCGACTGGAAACAACAACGACAAAAAAAGGTGTTATTGTGGAAGAAAGTGATCTCAGAAGCAATCATCAGAGCTTGACGCAATAGTGCCTGTGATATAGCATATCTAACCACATGGCCGAAGAGTTGATATGGATGAACTCATACACGTTTTGAACATGATAGCAACTAATCAGAGAGAACAAATTCATTGTAAGAAGTACCACTAAGAGAATGTGCACTAACATCTTCCCCCAGTAAAATGCTGCTAACTTTCCTCATCAACAAACCACAGAATAGTTCAAATCCAAAACCCAACTCCCTGTCTTCGTTTGCAATTATTCTTGGCAACCAAACAGAACTGTTAAACGCAGATTCATCAAATTTAAACCAAAACAATAAAAAAAACAAAAAAAGCAAACGTCAATCATTCAAGACTCCCCCCTGGGCAAATGTGGAAATTTATACCTGAATAATCAGAGCAAGTGTAGATAGAGAACATTAGAATCCTAAATTTTTTCCCCAGAATTTTCCCTGCATCAACCAAACGGTGATTTCGTAACTTAAACTTCCAATTCCTACATTTTTTTCCCCGTTTATCATCCCTATCAGTAGCCAAACTGGAAACTAACCAGAGAATTCAACATACTATAAAAAGCAAAAACCAAAGGAAAAGAAAAAAAAAATCGAAGGATTACCAGTTTCGACCAAGAACTTCATCGGCGCGGTAACCAGTCAAGACCTCAAAGACTCTGTTGACGTAAATTATCGGAAAATCCGGCTCCAGAGCATCAGATACAACAATAGAAGGCGGCGTCATCGGGTAATAGAACATCCCCGGCTTCAATGGAAGCTTCCCGTCTTCTCCTCTTCCTCCTCCTTCCTCTTCCCCTTCTTCTTCTCCGTAGCCATTTTCTTCTTCTTCGTCTCCGCCTCGTTTCAGTCTTTTTCCGGCGACTCCGATATCTTCTAATCCACGTTCTGTCGCCATTTTCGCGTGCCGAAATTTCTCTCCCTCTGTGGATTTTGATATTTTCTCTCGAGTCCTTTAAAATATCCCAGAGGGGAAATTGTAAAAGACTAAACTGTCCTTTAGACAATCGGTGGGAAACGAGGAGAAAAACCCGCCCCTAGTTCGGTAGCGCAAAGTGGTGATATGAAAATTAAATGGTGATGGGGGGGTAAATACGGAAAAGAAAGTCCAAGCCAGTTTGGCGATGACACGTGTCACTGAGATATCTCAAAATATCTAACCTAATAAGCCACTGGGTCGCCTCCACGTCATCATACTTCCCCGGTAGATATTTTGGTGTAGCGTTGGAACGCACCTAGAATCGAATCAGATTCAATACGTGTGTATGTGTATATATACACTGCATCAATTTCATTACATAATTATATATATTTTTTTATAAGATAATTATATATTTTGTTTGTGACAGATTTTCATAAACTAAATTATAGTGAAAAAGGAAATTTTGAATTTCATCACCAAAATTAAATGTCCATATGTACACACATAGATTTAGGATAAGGAATAAAAAAGGCAAATCCTGTATGAATAAATTAATGATTAGAGCTCGATCGAAGTTTAAATTAAAAAATAATTACAAAAAGGCGAGAGAAATCTCATCATGGCGGTTATCTTTATAACATACATCGTCATCATTGTCCATAAAAAATGAGAATTGGTACGGCATAATGAAACATTGTTTCGTCGCCAAGTAATAATAATTGCCAATAGTTTATAAAATAAAATATAAACAAAGAAAACGACAGGCTTTCGCACTTCCATTAGCATAACTACAATACATACATACATACATACATACATACATACATACATACATACATACATACATACATACATACATACATACATACATACATACATACATACATACATACATACATACATACATACATACATACACACACATTGAGGCCCAATAAGATAAAGTTTGAGAGCCCAACAAGCCTTGAAAATAGCCAGTCAATAGGCCCAACTAAGCCAGTGACTTGGGAGGATAATGTATTTACAGCAAGCTCACGCGCACAAGAAGCGCGTAATGTCACGTTTCTGTTTTTTCTTTTTGAAATCTGCACTCCAAAAGAATTTTAATACCCCCTAATTTCGGAGATGATGTTTAAATTCTGATGATGAAAAACTTTTAAATATTTTAGAGGAAAAAAAAAAGAAAAAGAAAAGAAGAAGTTTCTTATAAATTTGGATTAATTAATAGATAAATATCTAAAATTATTATTATTTTTAATAAGATTGTCAGAAGTAATAATGAGTTCTGAATAATATATAAATAATAAATTATCGAAAACAACATTATCTTTTGAAGACAAGTAAACTTTTCGTTTAGATTTTACATTGAAGATTCAAGTTTGAAAGGCTTTCTTCTGATATTATGAATTCAGGCCTTTTTGGTGATTTTTTTCATTAATTTATATACTAATAATATTTTTATGTACTTTTTTATAATTAAAGTTTGAGTATTTATAGAATTCTATTTAAATGGACCGTTTATTTTTAATAAGTGGTGAAGATTTTATCATAGCCGTTTATGGGCCATCTTGAGCCCAAATTTAAGTCCATTGATGACTGCAGTTCACTTCCAATCTTTTTTTATCATCATTTTATTTTTTTTATTTTTTTTTTTGTTTTTTAGTATAATAACTAAATATTAATCCACGAAATCAAAACATTACAATAGTGGTTTTTTCAAGAAAAATTGTAAAAAAAAAGAATCTAAATATCCGTGCCTGATTAAAATATTAGTGTAGGGCCTAATCTCGGGTTTACACATCTAGACATGAAAAATTGTAAAAAAAAAAAAAAAGACATGAAAATTTTCGTATTGGTTCTTTATAGCTTATAAAAATAAAATAGAATAAATGAATGGAGGGGGAGGTCGGTCCACTCTACAGTGCCTCTAAGATTAGGATTGGGACCGCCGGTTTTATTGTAATTATACCACACGGTTAGTACTTTAAAATCGGTCGGTCCATGTTTTGTTATGGGCCCGTGAGTAGTCTCATAATCTCGATTTCTGTAACCCTAAGATTTAATTAGTTTTTCAAATTTCCACCCAAAAAAACAATATTTTCTAATTACACGGCCACGTGTGCAAGGCTTCAGAAATGCGTACAATTTGAATCATAAACCGATGCGAAATAAGTGTACATGGGACTTTTTTTTTTCCTCTAATCCATTTATCTACATATTTTGCTCGAGTTTTTTCTTTTTAATATACGTCTAAAATACTTTCGAAATAATGTATTATATAATATATATTATTGATAATCGAATAAGTTTCTCATTAGAATTTCTATCAGGGCCGTCTAATATCATGTTCAAAAGGTGCGATCGCACAAAACCCAAAAATATGTAGAACCTCAATTAATTTAAAAATTATTAATAATATATATTATTATAGGTAATTCTTAATAATTATGAATAGAACATGTTAACAATATATATTACCGTTAATCATTTTTATTATTATTATTAAATAAATTAGTAGTGATTATGAATCAGTCATTCCAACATAATATTTATTAACCATTTTAATTATATTTTAAAATTATTATTTTTTAATATATAAATTAATATATTTTAATAATTTAAAATTACGATGTGCACGGGGTCCCAAAATTTTATGAGACGACCTTGATTTCTATCATAGGATGATAAAAAAAATAGATAATTTCAAAACAAATAGTAAACACACAAAAATTTAAACTCTATTCGAATTGAAACCCTTCATAATTCCCAATAATTCGTTTGATTCTTTTGATCGAAATCGTATTTTCATAATCAAGACATCGTATTCAAATATTTTTATTCGCGGTAAATATCCGATTTCTAGTTTGGACCGAACCTATTGGGGACTTACAAGCGATGCTTTTGTTTTGTTTGTGTTTTCAGCAAGAAAATAATCAACAAGAGCTAATGTTATAAATTAGCTTAAACCCCCAAATCTAATACTATAGGCCATTATATGACGCACCATAATTATACCAACCAAGTACAAGAGATGAACTGATCATTGATTCGTGTATTGCATGTGCTTGAACGTGAACAGTATAATTATATAAATTGGAAAATAGAGTTCCACATGTGAAGAAGACAAAGCAGAGAAGGTACGTAACCCTAGAATCTAGATCACGTTCCCATGCCATGCAGACAACAAAAACAAATACTATATGATTTTTTTTCTGTATTAATTAACTAATTTTTTTTTCCATGATTTGGTTTACGGGAACAAGATTCCTTAAAAGAGACAATATTTTAAAATAGAAAATTAAATTAATAATTAAAAAAAAAGGGTCGTAGCTTAGAGGAAAAACAGGCCACTAGGTTGCTATAGGGGCCATGTCCTCTCTCCTAGCTTCCAAGTCTCGCTTCAATCTGGCGTTCACATGGAATTATGTCATGGACATGGAGTTTAAGCATATATATAACTTCGGATTCGTGTATTTCACCTCGTAAAATTTGAAATAAATATATTATAATTTCTACAATATATATAATATACAAAAGGTTGAATTTTAGTATTTATTTTGTTGATATGTGTATGTTGACTATTCATTTTATTCACATTAAGAAGGGTCAATTGCAAAAATACCCTTAAATGATACATTGGACTTCAAGCTATACCCTCACGTAAAAGAAAAAAAATGACACTATCATAACTACCTTTATAAATATACATTTACTATAGTACCCTCTACTTTTTCATTTAATATAATTATATAAATAAGTTTTTTCTATTTCTCTCTCTTCTCTCTGGTTCTCTCTTTCCTCTCTCTAGTTCTCTCCTTCTTTTATTTCTCTCTCCTCTGTTACGTTTTCTTTCTCCAGTTAAGCTCTCTCTCTCTTCAAATTTTTATTCTTTCACATGATTTTTTGGTTAATTAATTAGAAAAAATAAAAGAAATCTCTAAAATTTTCATCTAATAAGCAATAATCTCGATAATGGATACATTTTCATTCTAAAATTTATTTTTTTATTTTGGACATTTAGGGTTTATTTTGCTTTTATATTTATATTTGATTTATATGATATAAATGAAAAAAAAAACGAAACATATATCAATATAATGTCGTATTATATAGATATAAACAAGTTAAAATCAACATTACCATGATCCACACCAATTAAATTGATCATAAAGTTCCATGAATGAATCGTGGTCAAATAATCTAACACATCAAGTCAGTTAAACTAGTCAAACCCTTCGAAACGGTCATATTCGTAAGAATCGTCAAACTAGTCACACTCGTTTGGGGTTTCGGGTTTAGCCACACTTGTTTGGAGTTTTGGCTTTTGGGTGTGACGAGTTTGACGGTGCGACGAGTCAAACTGGTCAAATGATGTTCTAAATTAAATTTCTAAGGTTCAACGTGGTATATAAGGGCTATTATGACGTATTTAACGTGTTTTTGTTATTCGTAAATCATGAGAGAAAATAATATATTCTACCCTAAGCCAATGTGTTACAAAAAGTGTACTAGAACTTTGGGGTTTCATTTGACAGAACATGGATAGTAAAAAAAATAAGGTGCTAAATTTAGAGAGTTACGATTATTTGTTATTTATGAAAGTTGTTATACGAGGTGTTTATTAACATGTTCATAGTGTGAAAATGATAAATTTGCAAAATTCGTGAGGGTGCGACGAGTTTGACGAGTTTGACGGTGTGACGAGTGTGACGGTGCGACGAGTCAAACTGGTCAAATGATGTTCTAAATTAAATTTCTAAAGTTCAACGTGGTATATAGGGGCTATTATGACGTATTTAACGTGTTTTTGTTATTCGTAAATCATGAGAGAAAATAATATATTCTACCATAAGCCAATGTGTTACAAAAAGTGTACTAGAACTTTGGGGTTTTTTCTCTCTCTTCTCTCTGGTTCTCTCTTTCCTCTCTCTAGTTCTCTCCTTCTTTTATTTCTCTCTCCTCTGTTACGTTTTCTTTCTCCAGTTAAGCTATCTCTCTCTTCAAATTTTTATTCTTTCACATGATTTTTTGG